ATTTACAATACCTGCTGGCATACATGTGGGTCAAGTCTGGGGGTGTGCTGGGCTGGGCAAGTTCATAGCGCCCACTGGCAGATGCGAAAACCAGGACGGGATGCATGACAAGCCAGGTTGGACTGCAGCACCAGCCAGTTCTCATTAGGGCCAAGATTAGGGGTAGTCCAGGCTGAGCTAGGCTGCAGCACTGCTTGTGAATGCCTTGGGTGAGGCGGGCATACCAGTCTGGGCCACAAGGCCCACCAACACACGTACGTAAGACTTGCAGCGGGGGGTGAACCCAGTGGGCGAGTTGCAGGGGCTCCCCTCTGGGTCATTGCTCTGGCTAGTGAGCGTGAGCATGAGAGCTGGGACTGGGATAAGACCAGGCTGGGCAGGGCTACAAAGCCCATTGGCCTGCATGAGTGGGGTAGGGAGAAAGCCAAGCTAGGCTAAGTGACCGTATCTACTGGTTCATGCATCAGTCAGTAAGTTAGGCTAGTTGGGTTTTGTTGCAGCATCAGCTTGTAGGTGCTGGGACTGGGGCAAAACCTGTCAGGCTAGACCATAGAACCACCTTGAAAGTGCAAGATCCAGGGCTGAGTGTGGGCCTGGTAGGGAAATTGTGGGCACCTCTAGTGCACTGCAGCGCCCCCTGGTGAGCATGAGAACCAGGGCTGGGGCAGGCTTGGCTGGACAGATGGTAGCACCTGCCAGCACTGAGTATGGGCTGGGTATTGAGGTTGATTGGGCTGAGCTAGGCTTCAGCAACCATTTGTGTGTATGAAAGCTGAATAGGATGTGGGGTGGACTGGAGCAGTCAGCTGCACATACTGGAATGTGCAGGAACTGTGACTGGGGCCTGTGTGGGTTTGCATATGAGATGGGCCTGGGGACGGAATTGACCTGGTGACTGGATCACCATTGTGTGCAGACTGATGTGGATGGTGGCCTGAGCTGGAGCCCACACTGGCTGCACCCACAGGAAGGAGTCGGGTCTGCGGTGGCTTCTGTTGGAAGGTTTATTTGGAGACATTCCAAGTGGATCATTGGACTCAGAACTCCAGCCACAGTGAAAATCACAAGATCTGGGGTCTGGCTGCAGTACATGTGCCTGGACTGGATCTCCATGGTTACTGAGGTCTGTGCAGTGGATGGCATGCCCAGCTGCTCACAGGGGGCAGGACAGCAGTTGGTTGAGGCCTGCAGAGAACATCTAGTGCCATGAAGGATAGAGCAAATTGGACAGCTCTCCTGGACAAGCTTTGACAGCAAGTATCTGGGCGAATGAAGAGTCTAAAGTAGGCTGTGTTAGCAGATGGACCTTGGAAGCCATGAGGTCAGTAGCATCCCGGAGCTGTCGAAACCTCTTAAGCAGTGCCCTCAGAACATGCTCCATATTGGAGGGCTTGGGATGACATCGGGTGGTCTTCCCCCATCCCTGGGCACTGCTGCGGTTGGGCTGCTGGGTGCGGCCCTCTCCCATTCTAATTTCCCAGAAACCAGAAGAAAAAGGGAGATTGAGGCAGTTTTCCTATCTCCTTTTGTCCATTCCTCGACCCTCCCCATCCTTATTGGTGGTCCACATGTGCGTGCATCCCTCTCAACTATGTAAACATCATCAAAAATAAAATGGATTTATTACTAACAAAATATTTTTGCAAATCTTGCTCATTTCTTTTGCGTGTGTGTGCCTGGTTAGGGAAGTGCTCTTTACGTTGTAACGTGTCCCGTTCATTATTGAAATGGGTATTCTGCTGGGGATGAGGTGTAGGCTTCCTGTCTAATTAAAACAAATAATTTAAAACATATTTACAATAGAACAGTAGGGTATGCATGATGGCTCAGTAACTAAATTCTTGCCTTGCAAGCACTGGGATCCCATATAGATATTGGTTCGTGTTCCAGCTGCTCCACTTCCCATCCAGCTCCCTGCTTGTGGCCTGGCAGGAGAGCGGTGGACAGTCCAAAGCTTTGGGACCCTGCACTTGCAGGGGAGACCTGGGAGAGGCTCCTGGCTCCTGACTTTGAATTGGCGCAGCTCTGGTTGGGGGGGAACCAGTGAATGGAAGATCTCTCTCAGTCTCGCCTTCTTGTTGTAGATATGCCTTTCCAGTGAGAAAAGTGTCTGTTTTTTAAAAGACAGTAGAATTGAGCCCTGAGTATTCACTGTTTGGATTCTAGACAGCTGGTGAGGTGTTGCTCTTTGCATGTTTTTTTTTTTTCAAAGATGAATTTATTTTTTGGAAGGCAGAGCTGCAGAGAGAGGGGTCTTCCAGCAGCTGGTTCGCTCTGAATGACCACAGCAACGAGGGCCAAGCAAACGCAACCCAGGAGCGTCATCCGAGTCTTATAAGTGTGTGGGGCTGAGCCCCGGGGCCATGCTCTGCTGCTTTCCCAGGTGTGAGAGCTGGAGCTGAGTGGAAGTGGAGCAGCTGTGAGGTGAACACACACTTGGCCTCGTGCATCACTTCTAGCGTTCCAGGAAGTGAAGGTAAATTGTAGTATGCGTCTCTACTTCTGAGTAAGAGATGAACTTCCAATGAAACTTACATATATCTCGACAATAGATGCTGGACTTCCTTCCTCTGTCTGTACCTACAGTGTCAGGATACACTTAAATAGCAGAATGATGGACACTGTTGGAAGTGAGTGGAGGAGGGAACGTGGAGAGGGTGGGTGGGGAAGTTTCCTAAGCCTGTGGAACTGTATCATACAAAAGAAAAATGAAAAACAAAGGATCTGGAAAAATCTGCAGGTAGTGTATATAAGCCTTGTGCCATAAAGTTCACCATCTCTCATTTTCGTGCATTCATTCTTGTCTTCCAAGTCACTGCCGTCTGTTCCCGGCTTGGTGACTTTGAAGGCTGGCTTGCCTTAGCGTCTGTCGGAAGCAGCAGTGTGCACTCAGGGCCCACGGGCGGGCCCACAGCCCTGCTGGTGAGCGCTGTGCTAGAGCAGGCTGTTAAACCCGCAGCACTTGCTCATCTGTGCGGTGCTTGAGTTGTCTGGATTTTTCTTTTCCCCTTTCAGGTGATTGTTTGCTCTTAGACCGAGCACAAAAATGTTAAGATTTATATGAAGTTATTTTTGGTTTTTTTGTCATTGTTTTTATCTTTCCAAAGAATTTATGATTTTTCCCCTGCAGGACCTGCTTTTCTTTCCTTTTTTTCCTGTATTAGAAGTTACTTACTTAAAAGAGCCACAGAGGTCTTTCATCTGCTGGTTACTCCTCAGCTGGCCACAGTGGCCATCTCGGGTGGGCCGACGCCAGGAGCCGAGAGCTTGGTTCGGGTGTCGCTTGAGGTGGCAGGGCCCCAAGCATTCGAGCTGCATCCGCTGCCGTGTTTCCCCTGAGCATTAGCAGCGAACTGAATCTGAAGTGGAGCAGCTGGGCTTGAACTGGCACCCTGTGGGATGGTGGCATTGCAGGCACTGGCTTTACCCACTGTGCCCTGACAATGACGAACTTCTTCCTAAGATGCAGTTCCCCTTTTGTTTTTGTAAAGGCGGTACTCCTTAGGTCATTGGACATCTTAAAGCACTCTGTACCTTCGGAGTGATTGTGTTGGCAGTGTTTGTGTAGTACTGGTTTTCCTCCTTTCCTTGTTCCGACTGTCATCTTGCGGTCTCTGACTTGGTGAAGCTGTCTGAACAGTGACACACTGCTGCTTCTCCCCGACTTTGTGTGTGTCATGTCCTAGGCTCCTGGGTTCTGCAAAATCCCACACTTTCCTCTGTATGGCTGCTTTGCCAGAAGTGCTGTGGCAAAGCCTTCGTAGTAAGCTCTGCAGGGTGGAGAGCTTAAATGGAGAATTTTGTTGTCTGAGTCCACATAAAAGTGTTGGCTCATCTGTAAGGTAGCTCAGGACTCAGACACCATTTCAGAAGGACCATGTCTGCTGTCCCTCCACGCTGGCCTGCCTGAGGAGACCCCGGTGGCCACGGCTGCTCCTCCCAGGGAAGACCCCTTCTCGCCTCTTGGCAGAGAATGTCACTGAGGCCTGACCAGGCTTGTCTCTTTAGCTGCCCCTTGTTAGATCGGGTGCCTGCTGTATGCCAGTGCCTAGGCGTAAGCAGGAGAGGCCACCCTGCAGGTGTTCCTGCCTTTTCCCTTGATTGGCACTTGTGAAGAACAGCGGTAATATGATCAGTGGCTCCTGCTGAGTGCTCAGAGCCTTGGTGCTCTGGAGAGCTGGGGCTGTTCTCCCTCCTGTAGATGGGTGTGCTCCCATCTGGGCCTGGGGCTCCAGAGCCCAAAGTCTTCCTGTGTGCCTTGGCCCAGCCAGCGTGTAAGTGCGCAAGAGACCCCATCATGAGCTGTGGCTTTGGTAGAACTTTATAGTTTGGGTCGGTAGAATTGTGCTATGGTTAACTTTCAGCAGAAGTCTTGTTTTTATTATAGCAATAATGTGGACTCTGGGAATTCAAGGATTGTGTGTACTTCCCTGCCCCACACAGGCACATGCGTATATGGACACGTGGTGCTACCTCAGCGAAGGCTCGAGCTTGGAAATTTGTAGAGCGTATTACATATGAATATGCCGGAGCCCTCTGGGAGGTACTTGATACACTCTGATAGCTAACACCCTTCCGTGACCACGGCTTCCTGTGACACCAAGTAACGTGCAGTCACCGTAGAGGCCGTGTTCCCTTCGGCTTCCCGGCGCCCCTGCCGTCCCCCCGTTGAGCTGGGCTCTTCCCTGTCTGTCGGGCAGCTGTGATGAACCACAGTCTGTGTCTCCTTCCAGCAGGGAGACACTGCCAGGGAAGGGCCTGCCTGAGCACGGGCTCTGTCAGCGACCCTCCCACTCTGTAACCTGCAGAGGCTTCCCGGGGCCCCAGCAGAGTTCCTGAGTTGCTGGCCGTCAGCAGGAATTGAAAGAATGAAAAGAGACTCCCGAAGTAGTCAGCGCTGTCACAGGAAGAAGCCTAGGTCAGTTATCAGCATTCGCAGAAACAACTGGAGCTTGGGAATATAGTGGGTCACTTGTCAGCTGAGGGGCCTGCAGCAGGGGCTCTGGGACAGCGCCGTGATGGGCACAGGGCCACGCACAGCCCGGCCCAGCCGCGTTACACTGTAGCTTGCTCCTGTGATGTCCTGGACCACGGGATGAATGGCACGCTGCCCGAGCGGAGCATCAAACTGTGCGTTAACTTTAACATTGCAGACCTGTCTGTGCACAAAAGGTGAGTTTCCCGGCTGCGCTGGCAGTGTCTCCATCAGATGATGCGTCAGGATTTTCTGTGTGTCTGTGGGCAGCCGTTGCATCAGAGGTTGGGACAGGAGGCTGCCTGCCCGAGGCTGTCTGCCACTGGTGATGGGCCAGTGTCTGGCGGTCCTGTTGGGCATCGGAGGGGTGTGATTTGGCTGGTCTCCAGTCTGGTTCTGATTATAAAGAAAGAACTGATCAAATTCAATGTAGTGAATAAATATTATGACTAGAAGTAAATTGACTTTTGATAGTTGTATAATGTGCTGGGATATGTAAATTGGTTATTCAGTTATGGTTTTCCTGGAGCCTTGTTATTATTAATATTTTTTGAAGATTTAGTTATTTAAGGGCAGAGTGACATACACACTCAGCAGTTTCCATCTGAGCATTCGTTCCCCAAAAGACGCAGTAGGCAGCGTAGCAGGAGCCAGGCACTGCTCTCGGGCCTGCCACAGGCTGCCAGCCGCTCGGGCCTGCCACAGGCTGCCAGCCGCTTGGGCCGCCTGCTGCTTCGCTGGGTCAGAAATGGGCCAGCGCTACACTGTGGGCTCCCGGCTGCACGAGGGCATGCTGGGCGCTGTGCCGCAGGGCCGTTCTTGGAAGTGGCCCTGGTTTTAATGTGATAATGACCGGTGCATGTGTTGGGCATTCTTGAGTTCTGAACTGTTTACCACAGAGGCTGGTCATTGTGTTGGCGTTTCTCTTGACAAACTGCCCTTTGGGTGTGAAGGAAGTGGAGTCATGACATTGAGCGGGTCAGCGAGTGACAGGGCCTTGACGGTGACATTTCCCGGTTCCTTGGTGTCCAGTGACGTTGTTTCTTCCTTTTGGGTCCGGGATAAACATGGTAGGCTTCGCAGACTGTTGCTGGAAGTTTAGTGTTTCTCTGTAGTTCTGGACCGTTTATCAGCGTGGAACAGAATAATACATAGTGTGAGTGGTAAGAGGATAGAGTAACAGGAAACCAAGCGTGCCACATTAAACACGGGAGGGTCACGCTCGCCAACATGACAAAAAGGATGAATTCTGGAAGGCGGTAGCTGAGGAGCCAAGGAACGTGGTCTTGTTAGTGGAGAGTTTGATTCTTGTTTGTCCCTCAAAAAGTGATCCTTGGAGTTACCCCAGGAGCTGGGATGGGACGGGGGACGGCAGAGGAAGAGGAAGGTGTGCCACTAGGTGCTTACGGACACCTGTCCGGGGTGTCCTCTGTCCTTGGCATCATTCTGTCGGGTTAGGGGACAGAGCAGGCAGTTGGGAGGTTTGGCTGGCTGCTAGACCCTCATGTGAAGTGCATGTGAGGTATACCGCAACTAAAAGGTTAGGGGCTAAAGCAGTTTTAATCACCTGTTAGAAATAGCCTGATAAAAATGATAGCAGATGTTATTCCTTTCTTAGGAAAAATGCGTCTGTACTAGCAGTCAGTTTTGGGGTGTTTTCCTATAAGAAGCTAGCTCCTTCCAGCTGTGAGCTGCCAGGGCTCTGAGCTGGGTGGAGTGGAAGAGTGGGCCCAGCCAGGCAGTGTGGTCCTAAAACACGTGCCTTCTTGTCCTGCCTAACTCTCCTAACCTTGTAGCTCACATAAACTAGTAATAGCAAGACCGTTAGATTCCTTGTTAATACAGTGTGCTAACACAAGGATTTGCAGCCACCTATTTTGCAGCAATTTTTATGCCAGGAACTCTGAACAGGGCAGAAATGATTTGATCAGACTGTATATATTACTCCTTAGAAAACAATGGGACAGAAAGAGAAACAACAAAAAGGAAAACCCAGTGATGTCTGAAGCAGATGTTGCTGAATTTGTTACTGAACTTGTAGAGAATAGATTGGCTCCTGGTCGGTGCGAGATGCCTGATGTTTAAGACTACACAGGGAATTTGGTGGGCGCTCTGATGTCCTAACAAGTGTACTAGGATAGTGGCTAATGCAGAGACTGTTGCTGGATGTGGTGAAGCCCAAGCCTGGGCGGGGATTTCTGGCTCTCGTTTTCGGGGTGTGTCTCATTTTTGGGGGTGTGGAAGTTGGCATTTCCCAGTCTGTCAAGCTGGTGCTTGGCTGACTTCTCCGCAATAATGCAGGAATTTCCTGTTTTAAAGTGTCTGGTGTGAAGGGACTGGCACCGAGGTTCTCTCGCTTTGTATGGTTTCTGCATTGGGGTTCAGGTGTTTTGACAACGAGCTTTTTTGGGCTGCAGCTGCTGGTGTGTGAGCTGCAAAGAATACCTGTGTTCTGCACGCTTGCTGCTGTGGGGCACTTGGCACACATATGTTTTTCATCTGCAGTGGTGGCTGTAGTTGCGATGATATTTTTTCCTGTGGTGTAGATGATCACAGGGTCAGACCCTGCACGGGTGGGAGGACAGGCGCTGGCCTGAGGTCTTGGCTGAGTTGGGATGTTTGTGTGTTCCTATTTGAGGAGATGCAATACGGATTCATAGATAACTCGGGAGGAAAAGCTTGTGTGAGTGGTTACTTGGGGCAGGCTTGTCTTGGAATTGTTTCCAGCAGGCTTCTGAAATAGCGTGCTTGGACTGGACTCTGAAGGAACTGGAGGAGAGTCCTGTTCAGTCCTGAGGGCAGAGTGATTCTAAGGGACTGACTCACGCGTCAGAACCACATGTGTGCAAATGTAAGAAAGGGGGGCTGAGCCCACCGGAGAGGGTGAGAGCCTGGGCACCAGCCGCTGGGGCGCAGGATGAGGTGCGGGTGTTGGGAGAGGTGGAAATGAGCGGTGTGACAGGTGGAAAGCCACTTGGGGTGCAGAGCGAGGGGAAGGGGAGTGATGCTTGTATGGATCTTAAAGTGTGACTAGTAGGTTGCCAGGCAGGGGCTGGGAAGACAAGGGACTTTGGACATGAAGAACCTGTGTGACTGCCCTGTACAGTGAGGGGTTGTTGGTTTATTTGTTGTGGGTCACATGTGGCCACAGGGTTGGACTAGAAGTTGGGGTGGATTGGACAGACATGGTGGTGGCGTGCTAGGGAATTTAGTGCCAAAGAGAAGTAGTGTTTCGGGGAGTTTATCTGGGGAGCTGTATGGATGATGACGAGACAGGGAGTGGGGACCCTGTTTTTGAGACATCTGAGAGGAGTCTTTTAGGGAGGTTTAGGATGGAGTTCATGGGGCCCAGCGTGGTGAGGAGTCACCAAAGCTGCTGAGCACGTGGGAGGGCCGCTGCATGAAATGTGGGGAGTAGGTGGTGGGGAGGAAGGGTGTTCATTGCCTGGGCTTACCGCAGGTTTCCGGCACACATTGCTGGGTGGGAGACTGCTCTGAGAGCATGGTTATCCTGGTGGGCATGGGCCAGCTCCCTGGAGCGGCTAGCATTGGAGTTCAGGTTACACTGTCTGTTGCAGAATAATTCTTTTTCTTGTCTGTAATCTGTTTTACTGTTTTTAGGTTCCATTTGGTTTACCTTTTGTTGACCGCACTAGAAGGCATTAGCTGTGTGGTGTTCCATTCGTCAGTGTTGTAGAGGTCTTAGTTGTGAGGACACAGTGCAATGGTTGTAAGTACACTCACGTTGTCCTGCGGCCTTCACCTGTCCTCCCTGTTGGCTTCCGCTGGCAAGCTGCTGCTGTCCCCATCCGTAAGAGCGTGCTCTGCTCACAGCTCCGGCCAACACTGTCCTGCTGCTGTCCCCGTCCGTAAGAGCGTGCTCTGCTCACAGCTCCGGCCAGCGCTGTCCTGCTGCTGTTCCTCTGAATCTGGCTAGCACGCCCCTGCTCTCCTTGGAATGGGTCATTCAGGTTTGTGATTGGCTTATTTCACTTCAGCCTGTTGTTCTCAAGAGTTCATCCAAGTTGTGGCACGTGTTAGTTTCTTTTCTTTTCTTCTTCTTCTTTTTTTTTTTTTTTTTTTTTAAGGATTTAGTTATTTTTATTGCAAAGTAAGATATACAAAGAGGAAGATCTTCTGTCCAATGGTTCACTCCCCAAATGACCACAATGGTGGGAGCTGTGCTGATCTGAAGTCAGGAGCCAGGAGCATCCTCTGGGTCTCCCAAGCAGGTGCAGGGTCCCAAGGCTTTGGGGTCTTCCTCAACTGCTTTCCCAGGCCACAAGCAGGGAGCTGGATGGGAAGTGGGGCTGCTGGGGTTAGAACCAGTGCCCATATGGGATCTTGGTGCGTTTAAGGCAAGGACTTTAGCTGCTAGGCCACGCCACCAGGCCCTAGAGTTTCTTTATTAATGCAGAAATAAAATTCAGATGTGTGGCTAGACTGTATTTATCCACCCATGATTGATGGATATTAGTGTTTCTTCCACTTGCTGGCTGTTGTAACATAAACGTGAGGGTTCAAATACTGCCGAGTCCCTGCTCCCAGTTCTCGGTAGGCACGGCAGTCACTCCAGGCATGTGCCTTGCAGTGGAAGAGGGGTACCAGTTTTGCTGAATGCTCTTGATGAAGTAGTAGCTATTGTTTTCATGAAATCTCAGCCTTTACTATATATACAAATCCTTAAAAACTATTAATTTGAAAGGCAGGGAGGAGAGAAGGAATTGCTCTTTCATCTCCTGGGTCCCTGCATGCCCACAGCAGCGGGGCTCAGCAGAAGCCAGGAGCCTGAAATGTGTCCAGACCTTCCGCCTTGGAGTCGGGGACACAGGCCCGTGAGCCGTCTCCGGCTGCGGACGGGATGCGCGCTGGCAGCACGCCGGAATGGGAAATGGCGGTGGCTGAGAGCCCGGCAGGCGTTCCGATGGGGTGACTAACTGCTGTCCTGGCTGCACCCCCAGGTACGTGCTTTTAGTGTCTGATGAAAAAGAGGGGCTCACAGGGCTTCTGCATGTGGAAATGTTATCCCTGGGGAAAACGAATTGCTTTTTGTGATTCCCATTAAAAAAAATATTTGCAAAGCAGAGAGAGATGCAGACTTTCCATTTACTAATTGTCCAAAAGCTGGGGGCCCAGGAATTCAACCCTGGCTTCCTTGGGTGCAGGAAGCCCACTGCTCGGACCATTGCCTGCCGCC